ACACTTAAAACCATTCTCTCTTGCATATGCAGTTTGTTAGTGCAATGGGTCAGTAGTTTGTTGGGTTAGAATGATCTTTGCTTGGTTTGGGAATTGGGATGATGATAAACTCAACCCATGATTCGGGGAATTTGTCTGTGCACCATATATCATTAAAATCCATAGGAGTTCTCAGAGAGATGTTTCTGGTAGATTTTTTAAAAATTGATAATGGATTTCATCTAGACCAAAATTTGCAGTATTTTATGGAGTGTTTTTAACTCTATGATAGTAAAGGGAATGTTGTATTTGTTATTTGAGGTGAATATTAGTTTTTCTTTTTCCATGTTTTTTGTATTTTTTACATTTAGGGGATAATGATCTGTTGAGGAGTTCCTTTGGAATTCTGTTGCTATCAGATTAGCTATTTCTTTTTTCCTGTGTATTTGTCTCCATTTGGTTTCCTAAGTTTCAGTTCCCAAGTTAACTTCTTCAGGAATAGTTTGAAACAATAGTTTCTTCGTAAGATGATTACCCTACAGCCACCACCTTCCAATCCAGCTTTTTCCAGAGTCTGCAGGAATTTGAATCAAGGCTTGGTCTGACCAGCCAGTTGATTGAATTAGGCCTCTCTGACCACCCAAATAGCTTAGGTAAGGGTCAAAGTGATGTGTTGTGGTTCATGAGTTAAAACAACCCTCTTCCTGAAACCCTCAATCACCAGGATCCCATCCCAAGACATCATGGGCCACCACCCATGGCAAACATGTGGCCTCATTGGCTGTGGGGTTACCCCTCTGCAGAGGTGCAATCAGCCTATTCTGAAGCCCCTGCCAACAGGGAAAGGAACAACAGAAGTGAATTTCCAACAAGCAAGAAAGCAAGAAGTAGCAAGGCGTTTATTGTAGTGTTTAGAAATAACAGGATCCAGTTCAGGAGCAAATTTTTAGCACTTCTAAGAAACCAGGAGCAAATAAATGTGAAGAAAATGGAAGAAGGTACTAACCATCAATTGTAATGATTGTCTGCAAGAGAAAAGCCCAAGATGTGAGCCATTGATTGGAGATTTCAAAATCGAACAAGTACAGAAGTTTAAATATCTGGAAAGTGTTTTAACAGAGGGCGGAAAATGTAGCACCAACATCTGAGGGAGAAAGATACTTTCTGAAAAACAAGTATTAATAAGAAGAAAAATTTCATTAGAAACAAAGAAAGCTGTTCTGAACATCTATATAATACCAATCCTCTTATAATACATAAAATCAGAAAGAGACAGTTGAAATTTCTGGGAAACACAATGAGTACATGAGGCCTGGAAAATTTGACACTCACAGGCAAGAGGGACAGTGGAAAGCAGCAAGTAACATACCTTGTGAGGATGTCAGAACAAAGAGGAGACATGATAGTTAAAAGACAAGCATAGATAAGAGCTATAAAGGATAAGAAATTGTGAAGAGCTATGATTACCCACATCCTAAAGGGACACAGCACATAGAAGATGGGGTGCACTGCCATTCTCAGATATAATAGGTTGCATAGGAATGACTGATTTGTGCGTTTTTGATAGGCAATAACCTAGGTATTATAGGATGATATTCAATCAAATCTGACAATGTCCTCATTATTAATTTTCTAATTGATTTCTTGAATTTGTCTCTTAGAGATTATTTTATGTTCATTGATTTTTTTCATAAAAGTTTGTATCACAGAATAAAAGTTATTTTGTTTATTTTTTGTAGATATTCTTATTCATGATTATAATCCTATAAAATATCCCAATACATACATAGGTGAAACATACTTAGTTCAGTAGTAATTCATAATAGGTCTGACCATAATTTCAACTTAGGGAATGCAGTTGGGTCCTTCCATTTCAAATCACAGGTGACCCTCTCAGAAAAATCTAGGAAAATTTGCAAGTGTTCCTTGATCAAATTTATTGTTAAAACCCAAAGTTTAGACCTGTATCTTTAATATTTTTAAAACCAGAGCATCTTAAAATTTCTAAATAAGGCTTTCAACATAATTCAGACATTTGTATTTCCAAGGATGTTGCACATACAGATTTGAAACTTGGTGACCATAGTTAATATTTACAGTAGATTACAAAAATATATTTTTATAAGGGCTGGAAAATGTCTGGAATGACAAAAGACAATGTCCACTTTGAGAGCTTCTCATTGTTAGATACAGTATCTAAATTATTAGGTTGTCACACATGAAATGACACATTTTTTGGTTGGTCGTTGATCCGGTCGTGTAACAAAGTAACTTCCTTGACTTATTCCTGACTTTTTCTTTCCAGATAATTTTCGTTCAATATATTGTTACTCATAAGCCCAATGAAAATGATTACAATGAAACAATGTTGAGTAATCTTAGTGTACAAGTACAAACTGAGAAAAAGGAGTATTTTTGCATTGAATCATTAAATGCAATGAGAAATGGATACTCTTTGACCACAATAAAAAAGTAGGCCAGTGGTTAGATGCAAGTGAATCACCAAAATAATGCTCAAAACCTTCACTCCACCCTAAAAAGTTAATGGTTACTGCGTGGTGGTCTTTCAAAGGGGTTATTCTTTATTCTTTCTTGCCTCAAGGGAAAACAATAAAAACAACCTCACAAAATCACAAAATGTCTTAGTTTACAATGTGAAAATGTCAAAATAGTTTATTTACATACATTTTAACTGCTATCTCATTTATTTTCAAGGCTATTTTGCAAAAATTAGCATGTAAACAAAATTTAAACTTTTAACTTCATAAAGATACAGTTCTTTCTTGTATGCGATGATTCATTTTTATTCCACATTTCTTTAAGTTATACCACTATTTTAATGAAGGTTGGCATTTTTTCCACATTTTCAAAGTTGACAATTTTCATGGTGGTGTTTTTAAACTTGTCTTGTGTCTCCTTACACATACCATAGTTCCATTTTAAAGAAAAAAGAATGCTCATTTTTGGTGGATGTAAAATAGGGTTTGATGTTATTTTTCACAGAAAATTTGAAAGTTGAAAATTTTAGGCCATAAAATACCATATAAATTCAACACTTAACTCATCTTTAATAATCAGTTTGTTTCATATTTCTGTGCCCTTGCAACTTGAGGTGCACGTGAATCAGAAAGAGGGTATACTGCTTTCATTTTGTGTGAAATTGTTGGATCCAGCATTGAAATTTGTATTGTTAACAGAGTGAGTAAGTATCAACAGCTAAACCCCATTTTAAATCAGACTTGTTGATCGATATTAAACAGTTTAAATCTTTTTCTTATATTTTATTCAATTATACACTTTAAAACTATATAAAATACTTATTCATTATATTTTGTCCAAATTGTCATTTTCATCTTGGCTGTTGTTTTTATGCATTTAAAAAAAAAAAAAAATTAAGCATAATACACATAAAACTTTTAGAAAATATATAAACTGAATATATTCTTAGTTCTTTAAATTTCATATAAAATAAAATTTTAAAAATGTTCACTTTTCCTTTTAATGGTCATTCATTTCATATACATTTGAGGCTTGCAATATTTTCTCTTAATTTGGGGATTAAATTGAAAATTTTTTTACATTTTCTTTTATAAAATGAAATTGAATTTTGCCCTGTCATAGATGATTTTCTATAGGATAGACAATCTGACTGACATAAAAATACCACTTTATAAAATAGTTTGAGCAAAGACCAATCTGTATTTTCTCTGAAAGTAATTTGTCATTCAAAATAATGGAATTTTCTTTTGAAAAACATTAAAATATAACAGTTTTTTGTGTAGTGAAGACTAAACAGTTAAGAAATAAACACTGAGTATCACACAAACTGATTTTTTTTCCTGTAAAGAAAAAAATAATTCATAATTCCAATCCTAAATAACACAGCAATATATAAATAACTTAAGTGAGACCCAAATACATTTTCTTTTCACTTAGAATTTATATATTTCTGGCTACTACAAATTTTCTATAATGGCTGTTATGCCCTAGAATGTTGCAATGGACAGGCAATGATATATCGAAAGAATTAGAAATGACAAATAGCCACTTCTCATTTAAGTAACTTGATATTAAGTGATATCTGTGTAAACATTTATAAGAAGAAAAGCTTTTTGCTGATGAAAATGGTTATCAAATCTATTAATATTTACTAATATGCATACATTATTTCAGATTTTGATTTTTCCAACTTTTGCGCATAAGACTACTGTATATAATCTTCAAAAAAATTTGTCTTATTTGTTAATTAATTCACAAGAGAACAATAACAAGACAGGAGTCAATGGAAACAATGGCATTTAGAAATAACACATAATTTAAAATGCAGTGTTCATTTATCATTCTTATGAAAAGTCTATTTCAGAAATTTTCTTTTAAGAAAGTATTGCACTTGGTTAGCCAAAACATTCATTCAGGTTATTAAGTAAAAATAAAAGAATGTTTTTAAATATTGAACTTTACAGAATAATATCTTTTCCTTTTAATTCCATTATCTTCTACTATCTTTCAGGCAACTTTTTGAGAAAATGAAATTATTTTCATCTTTTCAAATTTTTTTATGAACTGCTGTAAGTGCATTTATTATATTCTGAGAAAATGAAAGTTTCATTTTTTGTTTTTCATTAAGACATTTCTATAAAGACCGGAATATATGATAATCTAAAGATGTGATATTTGTTAAATACAGTGAATGAATAAAGTATCCAAGCCAAGCTGTAACTATTTTTGCCTAGTTACAAAAAAAAAAAAAAAAGAAAAAAAAAGTGGTTTATTGTTTTCCTTATCACAAAACAAATTATGGCTGCTTTTCATCAATTGCTGCCATCAATTAGTCTAACTGGGGGCTGCAGGTCATAATAGAGAATTCACTTCCAAATTCTCTTAAAAAAAAAAAGAAAAAAAAAAGAAACTTTTTTAGCTGATGACAGGTTTTCAATGCAGTTAATATTATTTAATTTTGTTCACACCACAATCTCACGTATTCCTTCTTTCATTCTGTGACAAATTTCCAACTCACTAACCTGAATCAAAATGAGCAGGATGACTTGCATTTTTCACATGCTGGTGGCCATTTGCAGTGAAGAGCACATGCACAAGTGCCATTCTTATTCCTGATGAATATGCAAAAATATAGCAATCAGTAGGCTGTCCACAGCTGTTAGGTAAAGACTGATTCCATTTATCAGCAAGTGAAATCTATAGCAGACCGTGTTCCACAGTTGACAGTGTTTTTCCTAGTCTGAAGAAGTTCCCTTTCTTCCCCTGCAGTAGAGAACCCATCTTGAAATATCTCCTTGTGTCTGTAACACAGAACTAGCTCACTTGCAAGAACAACAGCCAATCTCAATTTGTTGCAAAAAGAGAATATTTTCATTGCATTTAAGTAGTGAACCATGCATAGAAATTCAGTCCAGTAAGTTTTTTTTTATTTTTGCACTTTTTTTATTCTTTTTTTTTACTGTGAGGTTTACCCTGTCTGTACAAGGCCTGGAGGCTACTCAAGGTAGATGGTTACAGAGTAAAAAGCACATTTTTTGAGTTTAGGTGGGGAAGATAATGGTTAATCTTAGACTTGAACAGTTTGATATTGTAATAATCAAGAAACATCCTCTTAGGAGTCAGTTCCACAGAGCACTGGTTCACTTAGGAAATCATACATCAAAGTGACTGTCATTTTCAAAGTTTAAACTGGTTTTTACTCTTTTTTCGCTAGGCAAAAAGAGAAACATATGCTTCAACCACATGAGTAACAATGTCCATTCTAATCCCTACAAGAATACATGGCAGTGTAACCAGATTTAGCATTTGTAAAATATCTCTATTTCCAAATTTATAACTCCTTTTACTTTCTTGCATTTTAATGCCTGTTCTCATATTAGTTGGCAATGTTTCTAGAAAACTCTCATACCATTCTTTTTCACAAATAGTTCCTAAAAAAAGTTGATATGAAAATTATCACAATACAGTAAAAAGCTATCATCTTGAATTAAGAAAAACAAACACTCTTCATGACAAAACACAGAAACATTTTCACCAATTCAATATAAAAATACACAAATAATCTAAAAGTTATTTTAAAATTTTAGCAAAATGATATGCCAAGTCTAAATCTTTATAGATATTATAATACTTCTGAAAAGCTGTAAAATTACTGGCAAACAATATATTAATTAAAATAAATTACTGCATTTCAATTCTAAGTAATGAATAAATTGAAATTCATTGATCTGTCTATATTTCTAAGATGAGGTATTATGTACATTATTTACATTATTCAGACTATTGTCCTTATTTTTGTTGCCATATTTATTACAACATTTCGGCTGTTGTATGCTCCGGCCTTCTTCAGGTGGTTGGAATGTCGAACTGAACCCTTTATTTCGCTCACTGGGGTAGACTGTTCTAGTTCTGCCATGTTTAATGGATGTCAGTTATCAGTTATCTCTTATTAATTTCTCTCTGAAAGTTCTCCACTGCCTTATCCAGGTAT